ATTGGGGTGTTACACCGTCCGATTATGTGGGGCCGCCGATTATATGGGGCAGCCAATTTCAAATTAGGCTGAATTTATGCTTGTTGTTGCGATTTGTGGGGCTACGAATTTCGATTGATGTTGTGAGCGGTTGTGGATGGTAAGGGGTTGGCCTTTAGGCTTGTTTCTGGTGAGCGGTTGTTGACGGTGACGGGTTGGGTTAAGGTGGCCAGTGGGATTATTTTCGACCATCACCATCACATTCACCTCACCATCACCATCAACACCATTGTTATGGTGGTGGTTCGAGATGGCTAGGTTCGAGGTAGGTGAATTCGCGAAGGGGGCTGGAGGTTCGTGGTGGTTGCGTTCGAGGTGGGGGTTTAGAGTGGTGGTTATGGTGGGGATGGGGCTGGGTTGCGGATGGGGGTTTGGGGTGGTGGTAATGGTAGGGGTGGCTGGGTTCTAGGTGGGGGTTTTTTTTTTTAATTTTTTTTGACCAATTAAGAAACGACACGTGTAAATTAAACTTTTAAAAAAAATTTACCTACTCAACCGGTTTCGGGTAAAATGGGACCATTAAAAAAAATCGGGGGTAAAGGTGGGATTATTAAAAACGAACGGTCCAAAAGTGGAATTATTCCCATGAATTTTTCCTTATTTTATTAAAAAGTTTAAGTTATACGTCATTTTTTTATTTAATTTTTTTTTTGACAGGCACAAGGGAAATATTTGATTGCTTAATAGGCTAATAATCATCTTTTCTTCATTTTTTTTTAATGAAATTTTTGTCGCTTCACCTAGTGCTAGCCAAATCTCCCTATTGGTATTTGATAGGATTGAATTGTTGATCAAGTCTCAATAAGCTACAGTTAAAGTCCTTGTACAGGTGAAAAAGGTGTTTATTACGTGCATTCGATATTCACGTCAAAATAACAATTGTAGTATAAGGGTTATTCTATTTATCTGATTTTCATTTATCTGAACTTGAGTTTGTTCTGTTCACTTTATTTGCACTTATTCCAGGTGTAATAAGTTTAGATAAGTTCAAATAAGTTTAATTAAATTCAGATAAGTTTAAATGAGGAAAAATAAGTTATGATAAGGGTAATAAGGCCTTGTTTGGTTCACCTTATTTTTACTAATCTAGTCTGGTCTGATCTGATCTGATTGTCTGATTTGACCAAACTTTGACCTTAAGTGTACGATAATCTATAAGGAAAAAATATACCAAGTGGGATCTTGTTAGATTCGTAATAATGTGTAGTTTATTAATATGTAATTTTCACAATTTTTTTCATTACGAAATTAAGAATATTTAGCGATAAAAAATCGCACATAAAACGATGTTCTGATCTGAACTTATTTTTTCTGATCTGAACTTATCTTTTCTGAAATAAGTAAAAATAAGTTGAACTAAACCAAGCCTAAGTCAAGTACAAATTACATTTTAATAAGGTCTTATAAGTTCAGATAAGATAAGATAAGTTTAGATAAGTAAAAATCAGGTGTATAGAACAACACACCCTTATTAGACCTTATAAAAACTTATTTTAGCTATAATTTGTACTTGGACAATTCTTATCAGAACTTATTTTCTCTTGAACTGAACTTAAACTGAACTATTATTATACGTTAAATAAGTGAAAATAAGGTGACTAGAACCGACCTTGTGTTTTGACAAGATCGAGTTAGAGAGGTACATATTTAAGATGGACATTAAATGAATTTAAGCTCATAAAAGCTTAAGACTAAACTTGAGTTCGAATCAAAGTATTACAAACTAAGGTTGAATATCTTTAATCAAGTTGAGTATTCAGGTAAGTCGAACTTGAGAATTCAAGCTCGTAAAAGCTAGAGACTCAACTCGACTTCAAATCAAAGTATTACAAACTAAGCTTAAATATCTCTAAGCTCGTTCTCTATATTTAACTCGCCTTGTTAATATCCCTACTTTCGCGTGTTAAAACTTAAAATGTAATAGATCATTACGGGTATCATCCAAAATAATCCCTACCTTATAAAAAGTGTGAGAAAACTCTTATAAATAGTGTTTGGATAATTATATCCTTTAATATTTATTTATTTATTTGCACTCATTAATGTTAATTGCCTTTTTTTTTAAACTCTTAAGAATAGTATACGGACATTTATACCCCTAAAAACATTTATTTACATAATTTTCTAATCAATGGTGTCGACAACTAAATTTGTGACATAAGGTTAAATTGAAATATTACCCAAATATGACTAGATATAGCGTGCGTTAGCCGCCCTAGTAAAATTAAAAGAATAGGCCTTTTCCTAATGTCGGCTTTGAAAGTGAAATACATGTGAACCAATAATATGAGAATTTGAGACTTTGAGTAGTAACGGCGTAACGCCAATAGCCCAAACAAACACCACATAAACCATGCATCATTTATTTCTGCTGTCGGTGGACATACAAGATTTTCACCCCTTTTTTTACTGTGATTATTTTAAGATAAACTTCATTTTATGAACCATGTTCTCATTAATTATACTCTTATTAATTAATTAATTAATTAATACTTTATTCCAATTGAATATTTAAAAGATTTAAACTAATTGTTGTTGACCTTTTAGTAAGTATAATGAGACTCTCAAGAATAATGAAAATATTCTAAAAATAAACTCCATTATTAGTTCTACCGACACGTGTGAACTCACTTTTAGTCCACTCCCCCTATATTTTTGAAGAAAATAAAAAATTAAGTAGTGGTTAAAATCTAGTCCAATCAAATCTTAATTCTCGCTCCTTAATCTTTGTTCTTTACATCACTCTATTCTACTCTCACTTTAATAAATTATTATATTTTTAACATTTAAGAATAAAAAACTTACCTAATAATGCATTGTATCATTCGTATGAGTTGTCCCAAAGGGAGTAGTTAGTTAATTTAGGTGAATAATGTTTAGTATAGAATATGTGTGATAATTTTACTCCCAATTTATTGTATAGTCTATGTGTGATAATTGTTATAGAATAATTTATTGTATATTTTTATTTAAACTCCCTTGTTTTTAAAAGTTTTTTTCATTAAAAAAATGAATATTCTGTTCTTGTCCTGGGATGTCAAGTTGGTTATATATATAAAGAACCATGTCTTGCAGTTTTTGACTATCAATGCAACATGATTATTATAGAACCACATACTTGAACAAAATTAATTCTCGTGACTTTATACACCTATTGGTAGACTTGTTTTGATCCAAATCAACTTATATGATCCTAGGAGACACCCATATGTTCACTTCAATTTTAAAAAAATAAAAATCCAGAATTGGTTTGCAAAGCGTGGATTACATAATTTTCAGTTTTAGACAGTTTTTGAATTTTTCGAATTCAAAATGGAAAATAGATCGGGATACTTTCCAAGGATCCCACAACACCCTAACAATCAATGTAATTAGAACTGTCCACTTTTGCCTTTAAAATGTCTATTTCATCGTTTACATATACAACATACGATTCTTTAATTTTCACTAACTTTACTTAAAGTCGACATGAGCTTTTATATGACTGACTAATGGTCGAATATGGTTTCAAACAACATTATATGGCTTCCAGATACATCCTACAACCTTAGATTTTTTGACACCAAGTCTCAAACTGATAACTTGCTATTTTATGCGGTTTTAGGGCGTATTTGAACCTAGTTTACCTGAACAAATTTGTGTTTTGGTTCACTTTTACCCTATTATTATGCAATTTTTGTGTATC